TATCCATATGTCAAGTATTAGATAGGAAATGAGTGGGAAGCCAGGCTACTCATATAACAACTTTGTAAATAAGCCCATAAAAGAGAAGGAGGAAGAAGAGGAGGTAAATAACTTTGGTCATAAAATCTTTGTGCTCATATTTGCAGTTCCTCATATAATGATCTCAGGCTAGAATTATCTATCCAAGAAGGTTTGTGATCCCCAGAATTAATTAATCTTACAATCCTATAGTCTGAGGAAGAAATCCTGGTAGACTAGACCAGTGTTTCTCACCCTCAGCAACTTTAAGTATGCTGGCTAGGGAATTCTGGGAGTTCAAGTCCCCACATCTTAAAGTTGCTAAGGTTGAGAAACACTGGATTAGACCAGGGAAATATATGGTTCTGCAGTTGTTGCTGAACTGCAACTTCCTTTATGCTTAACTATTGGCTAGGGTGGTAAGGTTGATGGGAATTGTAACCTAACAGCTTCTGGAGGGCCATAGGTTTTTCATGCCTTAATGAAGATCTCCCCAAGGAACAGAATGATTACAACATCCCAAGTCCAGCAGTTGCAATTCAGGATAAGTATTTAAATAAGAATATCCCCACTTGAAATACTGTGTCTAGTTCTGGGTGCCGCAATCTAAAAAGGACATTGACAAACTGGAACAAATTCAGAGAAGGGCTACCAGGATGGTGAAGGAACTGGAAACCAAGCCCTATGAGGAATGGTTAAAAGAATTGGTATGCTTAGCTTGCAGAAGAGAAGACCATGGAGAGATATGATAGCTGTCTTCGGATAGCAAAAGGGCTGTCATATAGAGGAGGAGTGGACTTGTTCTCTGTTACCCAGGAGGGCAGGCACTGAAACAGTGGATTGAAATTACAGGGAAGTAGATCCAAGTTAGATATAAGGAGGAATTTCTGATGGCAAGAACAGTCAGCCAGTGGTTACCTTGTAAAGAGGTATGTTCCCCTTCACTGAAATCTTCAAGCAGAGTATGGATAGCCATTTGTCTAAAATGCTTTAGCTAATCCTGCACTGATCAGGGGTTGGACTAGAAGAATTCTGAGATCCAGCTCTATATTTTTGTGATCCTGTTCACTCAACTGCAGATAAATTTAGATGGCCATCCTGTTTCCAACAGTGTCAGACATCTTTGCAAAGCTAACAAACAAATATGAAGATAACAATCTTTATACCACTAGCCAGACTCCAAAGGCTTTTGGTTCTTAATATCTCTACTCAGTAAGGCAAATGGCATCATTTGGGGCTATTCAGCAATGCACATCCCCCTCCCCCTCAGGCTGGAGAGATAAGGACTCAGCTGAACAGCAGACTTATTAGATCTATTGACTATAATCACTATCTCAGAATTTACAGTAACTGAATTGGAGATCAATGCAGTAGTTTCCTGAATTTCCAAATAAATCCACCAATATAGGCTGGCTATTAATTCTCCTTTACTAGAAGGCTGGGCTTATACAACAAGCTAGGTTAAACTGGCTAGTCTGAGTCAGAAATTATGATCACTTAACACACTGAATCAAACTGGTCACCTATGTTTCAGCCTAGTGTGCTGTGCAAACCTTCCCTGTCTGGTTAGGTTATTTATTATGGTTGAATATGTTATGTGAGCCCAGGAAATTGGGTAAATATCATTTATTAACTAAATCATGGATAAGCATGTTGTGTGAATACAACCAGGGTGTTGTTTGTATATGTTTAGCTTATGGTATTTTGAACCCAGGCAATTAGGTTAGTTCAGTAAATAATAGATCAGTTAAACATGGATTAGCATGTTGTGTGAAAACAACCTAACATTTTCACATTGCATGGTGGCTCCCTCTTGCCTTACCAGCCAAATGATGATCAGTCTTGGGCTCAAGAATAGCAATCCTTTTGTAAAAAAAGAAAAAAAAATCATTGCTATTTCACCATTGGGTTCTAAAAATTACAGCAAGTGCTTCATGGATGGCCTGTCCTCTGCAGAACAAATCTGCAGTAATTTTTTCAATAGTATTACTTCTGGCAGTTTTTTGTTGATGAACCATATCAACTTGCCCCTGTTATACAATGAAGAGAAGCACAGCTTAGTGCTGGTTTATGTAAAACACTGATCTGGAACTCTGAATGGATTCCAAAGCAGTGTCAAGAATTATTCTCCCTGTCACTACTGAGGCAGAAACAATTGGATTTCTGTCCTGAAAAGTCAAATGGCTTTTTAAAGTGCAGGATGAACCATCTGGGATCAAAGTCCCACTGATAGCTGTTTCAGTCCTTTTTAGCCTGAAAAAAGTACAGCTGTTGATGCTAACTTTCTGCAAAAAACTATCTGGGCTTTGCTTTACCAAGAACTTTCTGTTTCCAGGTTATGAAGATAAGATTTAAAAGCAGGGAATGTTTCAGCTTTGAATCATTAGAGATGAGTAGGATATGAGAGCAGTAACTCTCTTGGACTGTTTTTCTCCAGCAAGCAACACTCAGCACTACATTGCCTCTAATCCTGGAAGCAACAATTTCTCCGAGTATCTGTCTAATTTGTGCAGCCTCTGATCCTTGTGAACTGAAGCCTCCTTCCCTACTGTATCCATTGGTGAGGAACCTCACTTGTTTCTGGAGTAGAACAGAAACAACATACTTGGGTTGTTTACTTGTTCCTTGGACACAGCAAAATCTAATAAGGACAAATTTAACTATTTGGCAGGCTGAAGAGCAGCATAAACTCCTGGAAAGTGATGTTGGCCAACCAGTGACTTACACTTTGACCAGTTTTCTCCAGAAAAATGGCAGATTCTGCCAATGTAGTTGGAGGGGCAAGTTGCAGACAAGGATTTAAGTCCTTAAACTTATAAATATCTTTGATAAATTCCACCTCATTCTTTCTTGCTCAGATTTGAAATCAGATTTCTATGGAAATTGTCAACCACAAATGAAACACTGAAAATGTTGTGCGACAGGGAAGAAATGAATATATTGCAAGATTACTGTATGCCAACATGAGAAAATGGATGTTTTCTAATAGCTCACCGTGCTATGCTGTTCTGGATTCCAGCAGCACTGCACATGGGTGGTGCACTCATTTCAATATTTCTTTAAAAGCTAATATTTAATTTGCTGCTGGAGGATGGAAGTGACTTGCTCTATTTTGCTAATTTGGAGGGAGAATGACTAGCTATTTTGCCACCTCTTTGCATATGTGCTGTGGAACATAGTGTGATCATCCACCTGGTAAGGTCTGTAAGGCTCCAAACTGTGGGCATTCAGCCAATCCAGGATTCATTTTTTCTGTGGAAGTTTTCTGTGGAATGGCCATATTTGGTAAAGCTTGAATTTAGTTAAGATTACCAGCAATGGCAAGCAGACTGGGGCATTACAATCAAGAGAAAAAGAACCCACAAAAGAATAAGTGCCACCTTACCAAACAAAACGTGGGTTACAAAAGTTTCTACAGGGTACAAGCAGCAGCCAATCATAAAAAAAACTGAATAAAATGTTAAATATGTTACACTCTCCTACTGTCCATGTTTATACAGAACAATTCCTATTTTCTGATACTTACCCTAGTAAATATTTGTTCCCATTTAGCCTTTTTCTCTTTTGTATCATGTCAATTAACTTGTAGGCTTGCAGGTGGCTGTTATGTACACCACCTTGGAAACTATAGGTACCATGTTTGTGTGTGTGTGTGTAAGTATATGTAAGTGTGTGTGTGTCTGTATGTATACGTGCCTATATAAATAAATAAAGCTATCCTGGAATGGAAAGCCACAAGATCATACAATGAAAAGGACTGAAAGGCCAACTTTATGCTCAATACCAGAAATCCAGAGCTAGAACATTTGAAGCAGAGGACCATCTAGCTTCAAGAGGGACAGCTTACCACTCTCTAGAAGTTGACTTGTTACATTGGATAATTTCTCTTAATGTTCAACTGAAGTCTCCTCTCCTGCAACTTCAACTCTGTTGATCTAATTCCACTGTCTGGATAAGCAGAGAACAATATTTGTCCCCTTCTATATGACAGCACTACAGGTATTTGATGAAGGTTTTATCTCCCATTCAGTCGTCTCTTCTCCAGATGATTACTAATGCAACCAGAACTTTTATATGCTCCATAATTTATTGTAATTTTGTTTGTGCTTTAACAGATTTTTGTCTTTATTTTAATTGCATTTAGTATACATTACTTTGAGATATTTTAATAGGAATGTAATATAGAAATATATGTTAAGAATTAAATATATCAAATATACAGATACACATAGTTCATTCAGCCTTTCCTCATAGGACTTGTTACTTAAACTGCAAACTCTGCCAGAAGAGATAGGTAATCCACAGCCTACAGACTTATTTGATATTCCTAACATTTCCAAAGGTCTCATAAAATGGCAATTTTCTGCTGTGCAATGTTTTGGCTCCCCTCCTTTAAAAAAAAAAATGAAATAAATGTTGAATTAAGCTTCTTCTAAGTTTAATGCACTTATTTGTATTTGACTCCTCACCAAACATACAGACACGCATGGAGTTAAAAGCCAATTTTTTCAGTCTTGTCCTTTGATGGTGGCAATGTGGACCTCAGATACTATACTATGGATAGGTGATCTATAGTTTGCATGTGGTCTCCAGTACCCCATCATCCGGGGATTGTGCTGCCAAATTTTGGTGGCAAAATGGCTGAATTTCCATAGTATGATCTTTCTGTGATTTCCCTCCTAAAATTAAAGCTTGAAAACCATTCCCATTCCTCCCTTTACACACTCCCAAGCCACCAAATAGGGGTGGCTTTCCTCTGAGAAGCTTCCCACTAAAATTCCACTTCTATTCATACCTCAACACCTGCCCCCCTCAAAATATGTTGAAGTCATCCAGCTACCAGATGGCTTCCTGTATCCCTCCAGAAGACTGTTCGGCAAGATTGTAGCTCTTCAAACATTGCCTACTTGCTAATACAAGTCTATGGAAAATACTCTGCAAACACAGAATCTCAGAATGAATATCACATGGAAACAACTTACCAGCCTGTAGCCAGATCTGTTCAAGAGTTGTCCACAGCTGCATAGGTCCTTGCTTTGAGGCAGTACTCTGCATAGTTATCTCTGACATGGCCTGTTCCAGTCGTGAAGCTGCAATGGAAGATGCTCGCTGGGACCCTTAAATATAGAAACACAATACTGATTAAATAAACATGCTATAATGAACCCTTTAAATAAATCCAGAATTAAGCCATTTTCTTATTATGACCAACTAAATATACATACACATGGTCAAACCTTTGAGGCTAACAGTCTAATTCAAATGATGGTCTTTGGCTAATGGAAATGTCTAAGCCAGTTTCTTATTCATGGAGATCATGGGGATCAATGGCTATTAACCTTGATGGCAGTGTGACTGCCTCTGAAGGCCATCTCCTGGGAGACTAGTGAGCTTCTTGTGCAGTTGGTTGGCCACTTGTGAGAACAGACCGCTGTTCTCCAGCAGGGCATTGCTTATGTTCTTATGAACCTTCAAATTAACAGTGACAACAAGAAGAATGACTTGGCAGCACTACAGAAAATTACTGGAGCTAACTGAGCTCTGAATGGTTTTAAAAAAATCTTCACAAGGCATTCCAACTTTGGTACCTGCAAAGATGAATTCAGAGGTTGCTGTATATTATACAAATTATTGTGTATTTGCACCAAATTCGCATCCTTTTTTTACCTTGTTGCATAATTTATTTTGGTTTTGTTTGCTGTGAGAAAAGCAAGGAACTGGGGGACCCAGCTACCAAAAATTTTATACAATGGGTCATCGTGCTTTTGAAATTTCAGCAGATACTTTCCTCATACATTAAAACCTAATTTTGCAATTGTAAAGGCTAGAGGCTTGTGGCCTTACAATTAAGACTGTAGCTCATATATCAGGGAGTAATCACACATTCTACAGGTAAAAAGTCCCAAACGCAGTTTTTAGAATTTCAAGATTGCAAATATAGGAAAGGGAACTATGCCCAGAAGCTTAGAAAGCCACTGCCAGTGAGAATAGAGGGTGCTGGATTGGAAAAATTTCACAGGCTTTTAAGAACATACATTGTGTACCCTGTATCACATTCTTTAGTCTGATAGAAATTCATCTTTTGTGAACTACCATTTCTTTTATTGTACTTAGGTAGAATGTTAAACTACTTAGGGACTACTGTTCATACACAGATATGTTTTTGTCTTATGACAAGTAGCTACTGAAGTCTAAGCCCACTAAGTATCCATTAAAGCTCAAACTCTTGTTTATTCAGCCTTCCTAGGCAAGAAAGGAAAATTCTTCAATCACATATGAAATAAGCTGAAAACATGACAACACCATCAGATGGTGGTAGGTCATCCATTAAAGGGGAAATATTGGTTTAATGTTGGACAAATTGTGCTTTACGCCCACAGTCTTGGAGGAATATGCCAGAAAATAAACAAGGGACACAGAGGATCTGGGGAACAGCAAGGCCTTCAAGTTCATCTTCCCCAGTCTTTCCCTAAGCTTCCTGGCAGCTGAAAAGCACATTCCACATGGCCTGGATGAAGAAAAGAGCCTATTCACATCTCAGTACAGCTATACTCAGGGCAACATAAGACCACTCTTCATGAATGTACATACATTTCCCTTAGTCTTATTTCAGACTTTGTAAGGACCCTAAGCTTTCAGTAGCCATCCCATCGCTAAGAAGCACATCAAGGCTTAGGTTTTTTCTGGCTTTCAACTGGCTTTCTTCTGTCATCTTAGTTTGTTATAAACTGACTTGAACAATCAAAAGGCAAGGTGTGGATTTGAAATAAAAAAAAAACCCTCCCTCTTCAGATATAACATTCAGTACCTTAACTATGTCTAGAATCATTTGCTCAGTCTGCATTTATTTGCACTACTACTTGCTTTATAGATTTCTATCCTGGCTTCATAACTCTTATAACCTTACTATGTAATATTACCTGTATGCAGTAATAATCTTGGGTACTGGAGAGATGGAGCCAACAGGAAAAAGTTAATTCCTCTTCATTGAGAAGGCAAGAGCAAAACAAAGTTGCATCCTGTTTCTTGAGAATAAATGCCATCAGTTTTGGCTCTGCCTTCTAGGGAAGAGCAGTTTTTCTCCACTTCACTGAAGTGATGCCAGCCCTCTGGTGGGGCACTTTCAAACACACTTACATCTCTGAGCACATATTAAATACTTATGTATACACTTACTTGCACAATCTCTTGATCAGAGGTCCATCAATAAATAAGGCCTTATTCAACATTTAGTAACTGCTATTTGGTCTATATGAACATGGGGTTGGATTTATGGATGTGATCATTACATGAAGATAAGCTAGAAGGTTGATTGTGCAGAGAGGATCTGTCTGACACACTTCTATACATTAATTGCACATTTTTTCCATGTCTGCAAGTTATCCAGCCACTTGAACTAGTTCAGCATTTACAGGACATTATAAAATAGACAGATATAGCCTTTAATAATACTGAACTGCAACTTCTTTATTCCTGGGTGATATGGATGAAAAAGACAGTCTTTCAGAAAATCCATGGTATAGCTGTACTTTTATTTCAACAATGTTCCTGGGAACACCATAAGAACGTACAAAGAATTCTGATGGATTAGATCTTCCTAATCCAGAATTAAGCCCCATAACAGCCAAAGAACTACCTATAAACATCTCAGGAGATGAGTATTTACCAAGCAACCTTCAGGCATATTGCCTATGGCAATAAAGCCATATAGAACCATCATATGCAACTGATACAACTCATAGCATCTATAATGTCTGGCAATTATGAGGCTTGTAGTCCAACATGTTTGGAGTGTATCACGTTTTCCTAAGTCCTAAGTCATATATTGCTATTTTCAGACAATTCTATCCACAGAAATGCTGGTATGTGGTTGTGTCAAGCCCTTCAAGGCTGGCACACTCAGGAAAGAACTACTTGGATTTATGGAAAAGTCTTTATCGCTAGTAGGGTAACAGAATCTTGAAATAAATGTATTCCTCATAATATATTACTGGGGAACAAGACATTTGCATGGAAGAATGCATGAAATCCAAAGAAAATAGTTGAAGTCTATTTATATGTGATTGTCCATATTGGATTTAGGCCACCAGAATTCACCTCTTTTGTTTGTCTTACCGGAATCATTATCATGGGCATCAGGAAGAGTAAGATACATGTTATTATTCTTCTTGGCTGCTACTGTCTCAGTCAAACTGTTTGCTCTTTCTGAATCACTGGAAAAGAAGAACAACAGGATAAATATGTTAATTATAGCTTACTGAAAATGCAGGGTATATGCAAGAGCCAGCATGCTGCAGTAGATGAGGGGTTGGACTAGGACTGGGGAGACCCAGGTTCTAGCCTACCTTCAACCATGAGGACTCAGTGGGTGACTTTGGGCCAGTTACTTTCTCTCAGTCCAATCTACTTCACAGAGTTGTTGTGGGGAAAAGTAAGAAGAAGAAATGCTTTGGGGGGAAAGGTGGAATAGAAATTTGAATAACAATAATAATCAGTCCTAGAAAATGAGCACCAATCAACCTTGAAAGCTGAAATGTGGGCACATATGACATAGTGATGACCAAAAAAGTACTGAGGCAGGCAGAATTTCTGTCAAAAAGGCAGGAATTTGTTGTGTCACAAGCCATACTGTGTGAAAATTTTGATAAAGCAAACTGCCAAGGCAGGATGATGCCAGTGGTAATCAATGCACTCGGAGTAATTTGGCACATTTGAGTAAAGCATGGTTTACTGCTGCTGAAAATCTGGCTCTTTGCTTCTTTCCTACCTGCGCAGTGGGGAAAGTGTGATCTCTTCCTACTGTAGAGAGTTTTGTTCTTCTTCACCGCAATGAGGAAAGCTGTTGGAAGTCAAAATTGTACTAGCCATCACTGGCTCAATCTGTTCCTTCTCTCAGCACATAGAGATATATAACTAACTATGGGTTGTGTCTGGTCTCTGCCGCAGAATGTTTTTCTTTAGTATGTTTTATTATTCTTATCATTTTTCTTTGTATATGATGTTTTAACCCCTGTCAGCTGCCCAGAGTTGCCTGGTGAGTGGGCACCCCTATCATCCTCATCCACCAAATTGTTTCCTTCATGGTGCAAAACAGAGAATGGATCACCTGGTATCCTACTTTCCATCTGAATTCTGCTGCTGTTATGTACATAAAAGGGTTAAGGCTGGAAGAACCAAAGATTACTCCCTCTCTGGGACTGTCCATGCTAATTACCCACAGTATTGTTTCCCAAGGCTCTGACAAGTTCTGTCCTTTTGCTATATAGGTAGATATACTGTAGAGAATGTAAATTGTGGTTATTAAGTCCTCTGCTCTTTTTATCTGTTTCCTGTTGTTCATCTGTCTCTCTCTCTCTGCTTTTTCACTGCCTTTTGTCCCCTGTTGTCAGCTAATTCTTTGTACATTTGCTGATGTTTAATAAATAAACATCAAGCTATATTTTTGCTAGCTGAACTGAGCAGTGTGCGTGCTTGCTCTGATCTGGATATAGGGATTGATTGTAAGTGGGCTGGCTGCAAACTAAACTGGAAATTACCCCCAGTATTTTTTCACCAGCTAAGTAGTGCTGCATGAGGCTTTTGAGAGCAGCAGAAAGAGCAGCCATTCCTAGAATGGAAATCCAGTATCTGCTCAGAATCAGAATAAAAAATTAAGATTTGTTTATATGACTAAAGGAGAAAAAAAAACCCCTGGGATACTGCTTCTTCTATTAATAAATAAAATTCTAGGAGATATTTTAAGTATCAAGTTGGTATGTTTGCACTGATAGGCAATGTTTATTTAGTGAATCTGTATCCTATTATTTTCATCAAAGAGGTTGAGCTGGCATTCACTTCTTTTTTTCCCACTCTTCCCCATTTTTTCCACACAACAACTCTGTGAAGGTAAAAGAAAGAGTAACTCTAATAGTAATAATAGTAATGTTAGCAAGATTTTTAGACATATACATGTAAACATGCTACGATGCAAAATCATCATTGAGAATGTTCTTTTTAAATAAAAAAACCAAGCAAGCCTTAAACAAGCACCACATCAGCAGATCTAGCAGGCTGGATCCACAAACTCTGTAATACCTGAGTATGACTAAATCTGAATCTAGTGTATTAAAGCATCTTCATAGTGGCTTCTGGAAAGAGAAGTGAGAAAGGCCATCTACAGTATACTCCCCATTGGAGTGTAACTAGCCATATGTGGACTTATATGAGTCAATCTTAAACATATGTGTATTTGTGTATGTAGTGGCAGGAAGAGATACTCCCTGAAATAATCTGAAACAAGGTCATTTAGAGCTTTAAACATCAAAACTTGCTCCTTGAACTGAGCCCCAAAATGAAATACTGTTGGAACTAGTGCAGTTATGATATATATGACACAGCTCAAGCCTGCGTAACAGCACAAATAAAGGTCCTGAGTGCATTACTGTAATCCAGCCTTGTTTAACCTGCTCCATCTGCCTTCTTTCAGAAAACAACCGAGGACACCCCTGTTAACCCAGGCATTTGTAAGATAACCGTGATTCCAGGACCAGATGGTCTTTTAGATTGCCTGCTACTTTGCTTTTCTGTTCTTTTAAAATGAAATTGAATTTAGTGTTGGTATGTATCATTTCTAAGCATGGCTGGCTTATTGTGATGGTTTTGCTTAAGATTATTGTTATCATTTGCTTGTGAACCACTCCTGATTCCTCTGGGAGGAAGAACTGTATAGAAATAAAATCTGTCAATCAGTTAATACTACTAATGAATAATGTATTGGATTTCAAGCCCCATAATCCACCCTGAAGAGCTCCCACCTGGGGAAAGCTACTGTCATCACAAGGGCATGAGTGAATGCTGATATCTGCTCTCTTCCATTTCTCTTCACTGCTACTCAATATCAATAAATAATCAATAGAGAATGTCATTATTGTGCGCTATTAAATATGAATGCTTGTCCCCAAATAGTCGTATTGTACTTTATTATTCTTTGACATGAACAGGCAACATCAAGGAGAGAGAACAACAAGCCACCTCTGCTAGTATGCCAGCTGGTGTATTTCGCCAGAAAAACATGTTGAAGAGCTGTTTCTATGGGCACTTGAAAGTGTCCTGATATCCCTGTCTAGCTATAGCACAGCCAGGGGTAAAAGAGACAGGATTTCTTTTCTTCTCTCTCTCTCTCTCTCTCTTTCTCTGTCTGAGTGCAAGGATCCAGTAAGATTTGTGCTCTCAGCAGAATATGCCTGGCAGCTGGGAGTGACTTCAGATTAGTTCTGGTCTGTCCATTTGTCTTGATCTGCAATCCTGCAAAGCTGTAATGAATTCTAAATGGTGACCATTAGTTAGAATAGCTTGCAGGTTTATCTGTTGAATGGGACAGCATTGGGAAGACAGTCCTGTCTTTGCTCTGGAATGGGGGATGGTGCCTGGGATCCTGCACTTGCCATTTTCCAAACAAGGCTTGGTTACCATGTTGGTTATTTCCCAAGCTCTGGTTCTTACAGACTTGGCTAGTTATATGATACTGCCTCCCTACTCATTTCCAAGTGATATAAATTTTCATTGCTTACTCATGGATGCTTAATAGTTTCAACAAATTTCAGGTCTCTTACTCATTTAGATTTAGATTTAGGCAGGAATCCTGGACCTACTAACATGCTTGTAAATCCACTGGTTATATGATACTGCCTCCCTTCTCATTTCCAAGTGATATAATCTTTGAATGCTTGCTCATGGATGCTTAATGGTTTCTACAAATTTCAGCTCTCTTACTCAGGCACCTATATTTAGATTTAGGCAGGAATCCTGGACCTACTAACATGCTTGTAAATCCACTCCAGGATTTACAAGTATGTAAGTGGGTATAGTGCAGAAATACAACCTTCTTTTTTTCCTCATTCTAAGTACAGGAGATGGAATAATGGATTTAAACTACAGGAAGGCAGATTCTGATTGAACTTCATAAAAAAGAGCAGCCAGGCAGTAGAGTCTATTATCCAGAGAGGGGGCAGACACCCTTTGTTGGATGTGTTCAAATGGCAGCTAGACAATAAGGATGCTTTAATCTGGATTCCTGCATGCAATAGGGTATTGCACTTGATGGCCCAAATGGCCTCTTCCACCTCTATGAAATAACAACAACATTAACTATATCAGCATCATACATTGTTTAAGAACAATATTTTTACATTGAATTGCTGCTCTTACTCAGGTATTTATTTATTTATTTATTTATTTAAAAGATTTCTATAGCGGCCTATCTCACATGTGACTTTGCATGGGTTGCAAGGGTTAAAAACACAGAAAAACCCATACTATACAACCCCAGGTGCCCAAGGATAGACAATAACCCCACGTATTTGGGGGGGGAGAGCACATCAATAATAACAGAGCCATCTAACCACCTGACCCAAATGCCTGTGGAAACAGCCAGATCTTCAAAGCCTTGCAAAAGGCTAACAGGATTGGGGCCATTCAGATCTCTAGGTGGATGCAGGTGCTGTCACTGAGAAAGCATGATTCTGGGGTCCAACAAGATGGCATTGTTTGTTAGAAAGGACCTAGAGCATGCCCTCTCTACTAACTCTGGTTGGGTGAGCAGAAACAATGAAAAGGCAGTCCTGCAAGTTGTTGTTGTTGTTGTTGTTCAGTCGTTAAGTCGTGTCCGACTCTTCGTGACCCCATGAACCATATTGCACCAGGCCTTCCTGTCCTTCACTGCTCATTGCTTCAGTGATGCTATCTAACCATCTCATCCTCTGCCGTCCTCTTCTCCTTTTGCCTTCAATCT